CTTCATTTCAATTTCAATTAGAAATTTAATTACTTTATGTACCTATTTGCTTTGTTATTGCTTGGAGGGGGAAAACCTAGATAAGTATTTATACATTTTTTAAAATCTCTCCACTTCATTTCGTTGTATCGATTTTGTACATTATTATTTCATGTTATGTGTAAAATCAATTCAACTTAATTCAACAACTTACCTAATCGGACTGTCTCTGCAAGGCTAGTTAGCCCGCTGTCTTCCAAAGCTTGTATCATCAACCTTCTCCCCTTGGCTGGGTCTTGGTTGGAGTTCCATGTGTTGAGTATTTCACTGCAAGCATGATGGTTGTTCTCACGGTACTGCCTCACCAAGTCCGCTACTGGGGTCCCTATACGGAGGCTTCGACTGAGGTGGATGACGTCGAAAACGTCCAGCTGCTTGCTGATGTAGTCAAGCTCCCGAGCATCTAGAGGTGCATCAGGGTCAAATGACGCCATGCTAAAACAAAATATATACCGGTAGCAAAATATAAGCTATTGGCATTATTTACAAATCATAATTTTATAATAATATCATTAACTTCAACAGGGCTGTCAACTTTGGGGAACTGCTTCGAGGGAGATCGTGAGCACTAAAAAATAAAATCTCTTTTTTATAGTCAACACCAACCCCCTCCCCCCACCCCTGCCCTTCAGGAAAAAAGAAAGAAGATAAAATTGTGGTTAACATGGGAGATTTTTTCATTTACCGGGAGATTCTACATCAAAGCAGGAGGGAGGGCATGTTGGCGGGAGTCTCCCACTACGACCTGGTGGGACGGCGGGAGAATGAGCGTGGTGGCGTGAGACTTCCTCCAAATGCGGGAGGGTTGACAGCCCCGACTTCAAGCTCTTATTACATGTAGCTCTGCAGTCATATACATGTAGACCAAACAGCTTGCTCATGTAGCTGATCTCTAGGGTGTTTAGAGGTGTTTGAGGGTCCAGAGACACCATACCAAAAGAATATATATACTGGTGGCAAATTATAAAGCTCTAGAGGGTTGAACACACTGTACATGGCATGTGCAGCAGTGCAAGCTTACTTTGAAGTTTAAATCATCACGTAGGGTCAGGTGGTTGTGTTCCCTGACCTTTTGTGAAAACATGCCCCTTTATTCACAAAATGTTTGTGAAATAAATTTCAACCCCTCTCATCTACAAATGGTCTGGTTCAATTTTGTAAACAAACCTACAGTGATTCTATGACAGGTTGCATCATCTTCTGCTTTCATTTCACAAAAGGTCGTGTAATGCGACCATGCACCCGGCCAGATGTGATGACCTGATGATTTGATTTACAAGCCAAATATGCATCACTAAAAATGCAGTTGATACTGATGGCGAATTGTATAACTTCTTGAGAAGTTTGGAAGATACAAGCAATTGTAATGGCCAGGCTGTATAGTGCTAGGATTGTTTCATGGTCCAAAGGATGGTATGCTAAACAGGAACAGAATTAAAGCACATTATTACCCGTATCAGACATCTGAGCTGCAGTGGTTTTACAAAATCATATTACACTTCTTGTAATCCTAAAAGAGCTAATCAGTAAATATGAGACCATATTACCCTCTCATGAAAAGCTTATGGACTATTACGTGTTAAAAAAGCATGAAATAAAGTCTCATATTCACCGCGCCGTATTTTGTCATTTTCAACGCGCATCTATTATGCGTACGAGAACCTGCGCACTTTGCGCACTCTCTATTGTGACGTATTAATCACACCAAAGACACACACTGTTTGCAGTGTATCAAAAATTTTGCAAGCACTGGATGCACAGTACTAGCTGGTTTGACAAAGTTTTTTCAGCTTTTTGATATTGTCGTGTATGTATTTGCTCTAGATGTCTGATTTGGATAATAATAACAATATTGACTGGCTTAACTTTCGGGAGATACCACATATATTGCCCTCACAAGACTCATATTGCTCTCGTCTTTGACTCGGGCCAATATGAGTCTATAGTTTGGGAAATATTATGCGGTATCTCCCTCAAGGCCAGTCCATATTTATATAATTGTACAAGCTTTCGAGAAGTTTCTTGAGCGTAGCCTGTGGGCCTAGAAACATTGTAAACAATGAAAAGACAATAGAAAAGAAAATCATACCTTTCTAATTTTCTACAAAGTTTAACTATTAGATCTCACCCCATATTCAAATTTGAAGCTACTGCATTTCCAGTTGCATGATGCTGATCACCTGCAATGAGAAGGGAATTAAGATCATTGGTGAGTATTCACAAGTGTATGATTCCAGCTCTAAATGGATATGTTTACTGTAGTTTAATACACTGATTCATGGAGCACCAAATGTCAAACTCCTTTTCCCATTATTTTCCCCCAATGATTCTGAAAGAGTTCAAACAAAGTACGTTCCCTTCAAAATAAAAATCATTTTCTCCTTTCAATTTCAAGACCTAATTCATTGTCCGAATTAACTTCAAACATTAAGATACATTATAGAGCAAGTGCCATTAGTGCCTTTTGGAGGCGAATACCAGTGACTATACAAGAAGCTATCAACAGTGCAATACAAATAATAATCATCATCATAATAAACATCAATTGCTGATAGATGAATTGCTGATATCATTCATTTAAATTTCATTCAGCAATTATAAAGAAATGGCCAATTTGACTGAAATTTCAGTTTTTCAATTCTCCCGGGCAGCACAGAATGATATGTCCAGCTATTTTCTGGGTGCAAACAGCTGAAGAAAAAAGTTTGATGGATTTGCAGTGCCAAAAAGTTAAGTACCACCATCTTATATTTGTAGAAAGTAGTCTGAGTAGCCACAGTCTAGAATGAGCAAAACAAGCTCGATTGACAGAAACTCTCAGTCGCACAACTTGGACCTCACTCTGGACTCTCTGGACCTAAACTGCTGTGGAATAACCTTCCACAATCAGGAGTGCCAAGACCCTATGCCAATGATCATGTCAGACCTCAAGACTTTCCTGTTCCTATAGCTACGAAATTATATCAAGAATAACACTAATGCCAACAAAGACTAATGGAAAATATCTTAATTTGTAACAATGGCCAAGAGTGTTGAATTTGTGAGACTCCTCCCGGTGTGGGCGTGTAACTCAGTTACAACATCCTTTTACAACAAAAAAGATATACATGTAGGCCGGCCTACGTCACTTTTATTGAGCAATACATTCAAGTAAAGAATATGAGTCAGGCATTTTTGTGTGCCTATGAGTAAAATTGTATGTGTTTAAGAATTAGTAAAAGCGTTGTAGTTTTTAACTTCATTTCAATTTCAATTTGTAATTTATTTACTTTATGTACCCATTTGCTTTGGTATTGCAGGGGAAAACCAAGTTAATTTTGTACACTATTATTTCATTTTATGAGGAAAATAAATTCAATTTAATTCAACAACTTACCCATTTCGATTGTCTCTGCAAGGCTAATTAGGCAGGTCCGAAGCAAAGCGTTTACCATCAACCTTCTCTCATTGGCTGGGTTTTGGTTGGAGTGCCATGTGAAGAGCATTCCACTGAGAGCATCTACGTTCTCATTGTACTGCCTTTCCAATACTTCAAATGGCACTTCATGTATATAGAGGTTCTGTTCCAGTCTGATGAGTTGCCGAAGGTCCAGCTGGTTGATGATGTAGTCAAGCTCCCGAGCATCTAAACGTGTTTTAGGGTCAAATGACGCCATCCTAAAATAAAATATATACCGGTAGCAAAATATAAGCTGTTAACATTATTTACAAATCATAATTTAAAAATTAATATTATCAACTTCCAGTTGCATGATGCTGATTAGTGCTTAACGAGGTTACAGCAAAGCAGCGAAACAGACAATGCCAAAACATTCATTGAGTAGGTAATGGCAAATGGTAGATTAATATCTTCCCAAAAGATGTCAGTGCTTAGCAGGGACTTGAACCCTAAACCTTTGAAATGATGGTGAAGTGACTGAACTCCTGTATCAGGATACAGTCAAACATGTCATAGTGGCCACCTCTCTATAAAAGCCTTCTGTCTATAGGGGTCAAGCTCGCTATCCATAAGGACCATTATTCATAAGGAGTTTTTAAGGACCGCTATCCATGATGCGTGACAAAATGAATAGCAATCCTTTATGAATAGGGGCTCTTATAAATAGTGAGGAATCCATAGACAATTTACCACAGTCGCTAATCATAATAGGGACCACTTTTCATAAGGACTGCTGTAGACTAAATTAGGGCTGTCAACTTTTGGGAGCTGCTTCGAGGGAGATCGTATGTAATTTTATTTTGGCTCAACAGGGGGGTGGAGGGTGTTGAGTAAAAAAAAATTATTTGAGTGCTCACTACTTGCCCCCTTCCCCCCGGTAAGCAAAAATAAGAATTGCATACAATACGTACGCTGGTTCATTTTACACGTTTGGCGGGAGGTTCCTTCATAAACCGGGAGATTGTGGGAGAGTGGGAGGAAGAGCGTGGTGGCGAGAGTCTCCCACTACAAGCTGAAAAAACCTCCCGCCAAACATGTAAAATGAACCAGCGTACCGTATTGTATGCAATTATTTTGCTCAACAGCCCCCCCCCCCTCCGTTGAGCCAAAAAGAATTGCAAACGATCTTTCTTGAAACAGCTCCCCAAAGTTGACAGCCCTGCTATCACTCCTTGACCAATTTCAAAGTGCTTTGTAGTAGAAAGAAGGGTCAGTGACAAAGTGAACCCAGCTGGCAGGCTCATCATTAACGTCGTGTCTGACTTGTCTATATGACTATGGATATAATTAAATATGTCCGACACTTCGATCTCCTGATCCTTCAGCGCAAGACTCGTCGGGTGTGGAAAAGGGCGATTAGAAACTATGTTAGGTTTTTAGTGCCAATTGAGGCTAAGCCTACATGCGCCTATATATATACATGTAGGCCTAGAATAATAATCATATATCATAATGATATTCCATATTATCACCTAGCCCTTGTTTGATATTCGCCACACCCTAAAGTACTCAAGTAAAACAAGACGGCACAGTACATGATTGTAACTGAATTAGTAAATGTCCCACATATTGATACACAGAGTTAGAATGAGACTGAGACTGTGAGAGACAAGAGTTGACGTGTGACTAACTCCAGGAAGCTCTGACATGCCGCCATTGGAGGTTCCTGGAGTTAATGTGTGACCTAGCTATAAGTTCGCTATCTCAAAAAAATGTGTAAGATTTTGAAAATCTGATATCACTGCCCATGACCCACCATCTGTATGCACTTGTGTTGTTGTGCAGCGGTTTGCCATGAAACCTGTGAGAAAGTGTATACTAATATCAACGTTTTTACGAAAAATACTTCCCCCAAATGACACGAAACAGGTAAGAAACATAGATTTCTCGATCTAACAACTATTAAATAATGACCATCATTTGATGAATAATTACTTGCTATCCTGGCTATTGGGTATGTTTTAGTAGGGTATCTCCACGCCGGAGTTACGGGTCAATTTCTGGATATACTTCTGAACTAGCGCCGATTTTTCTGCTTTATAATTCTAGACAAGTTTGCTATTTTTTAGAGTTTTTTTTATTGTCAGTTTTTATTCTTTTCTCTCTTGAAACAAATTATAATCATAGTACAAATTACAATCATCATACCCAGGTCGAAATTCCATTAGGATCCGATCCTATTGGACCATCAGAAACCATTAGAGCTATTGGTGTCTAATGGTTTCAATAGGGAAAGTGAAATAATAGACCCACAGAAACCATTAGAAAATATCTATTGGACCAACACAAACCCACAGAAAGAAATGCTGATGGACCAACATAAAACTTCTATTGGACCAGCATCCACCCATGTCTTATATGGGTTTCTGTTGGTCCATTAGATATTTTCTATGGTTTCCTGTTGGTCCATTAGAGATCTTTCTATGGGTTCCTAATGGTCCCATATTCTGAATTCCCTATTGAAACCAGAAGTCCCGATGGCTTCTATTAGTAAATCAATAATGATAAATCAAAATCGACTTTAGCAACTGTCCCCCCCCAAAAGTATATTCTAATCTCAATTGCATTAACTCCATCACATAGATCACTTGGAGTGAGTTTAAGATTATCCTTTATTTTAACTGAAGGCTGTACTATTCTATATAATAAACATACATGAATTGTTTCTTGGTTAGTAATCATTATAATCAATATATCTATTGCTAAAATATGAATGAAATTGTAACATGATTAAACAAATAATCTATTGGTCATTAGTCGCCGAAAGAAAATAAAAATCACAAAATTGATGTACATTGTCATAAGTTGCTTAACAAATCAATGATAAATGTAACTTTCTGTGAACACGTATAAAGTAATCATGAATATGCATGAGATAGATTTAGCTGTTGGTTTCTATTGGTTTCTATTGGACCTATTGGTTTCTATTGGTCCATTGGGTTCTGTTGGTCTCATTGGTTTTCTATTGGTCCTATCGGTCCTATCGGTCCTATCGGTTCTATTGGTTTCTATTGGTCTTATTGGTTTATATTGGTCCTATTGGTTTCTATTGGTCCTATTGGTCCTATTGGTGTTTATTGGTCTTATTGGTTTCTATTGGTCCTATTGGTTTCTATTGGTCCTATTGGTTTCTATTTCTATTGGTTTCTATGGGTGCTATTGGTTTCTATTGGTTTCTGATGGTTTGAATGGTCTCTATGGGATTCAATTCTATGGGTCCAACAGAAACCAATAAACTCCAACAGAAACCATTAGAGACCAATAGAATTTTTCTAATGGTCTCTATTGGTCTCTATGGGATTTTCGACCTGGGTATGTAACTCTCACTGCAAATGTGATGACATTATAAATCAGTATAAATTTTTGTCTTACAAACGGCTTCAAAAGAAACTTACATAGTTAGTTCCTATACATCATATTTGAAACAAAAATTCATATTTTTAAAGAAAACATATGCAGTTGTATAATCCAAAAATTTTGTTTTAACAATGTAGCAACTTATACTTCTTTTTATACTGTTGTCCTGAGAGAAAAGTTTTCTCTTTTTGTTAACCCTACCCTACCCGACCTCTCCCTTATCCCCTCCCCCCCCCCCCCCCCCCCCTCTTAACTGGTGGATGACTGGCTCTGGGTTCCAATTGTTTGTCTAATACTCAGGTTTTCCCATTTAGAAAATGAATAGTGAGAGTTCCCCTCATTGCTGCCAATTTCCTTTCTTCTACTTTATCCCCTATTATACTATTCTTTATTTCATTAAAAGAGGGTGGTTTTTTAAGTTCTCTATTTCTATAAATCAGATATTTAACAAGAATTAAAACATGATTCATTAATTGATATTTTCCTTTATTTCTCTCCTCTTTCCCATACAGAATTTCCTCCAAACTACATGCAGTTATGTATTTCAAAGTCTAAAAATCTCGTGCACATTCCCCACACTGATTGTGCAAATTCACAAGTATAGAATAAATGTTTATATGTTTCTTCATCTTTTTCGCAAAATGAGCATAAGTTAGTCGAGACAAGACCAAAACGAAAGAGGTGATGGTTTGTATATAATATATTATGTATAAGTTTGAACTGAAACTCTCTTAATCGACTGTTAAGTGTACACTGTCTTAGTCTTAAAAATATGTTTTCTATTTCCTTACAGGAAAAACCATAGTTCCTTCCAATTCTCTCAAAAACCAAAGGTTTAAAATCATCTTTCTTTATTAATTGTACATAAATTTGTTTTGATTTTAGATCAGCTATATTAGTTGTTTTCTTCCCCAAAGTGAAATCAGTTCCAGAATTATTTTTTTCTTCTCCCTTTCTAAAATTATTTTTCCAACAAACTGGTAAACAGGCATAAAAGTGCTTGATCTTTTCAATTTCATTTACTTCAACACCTAAATCGATAAAATGCCTGTCACTTTTTAGTTTACCATCGTTTTCCAGAATATGTTTTAATTTGTAAATTCCTTTGTCATACAACCTCTTATCGTATATACAACTTCCTTTATATCGTATAGGTACGTTACAATGTGTGTGCTTTCGCCATGAAGGTTTCTGCCATGGGGCTGTTATGCACTATTGGAGACCAATTTGGATAGCCTAGGTAAATGTGATCTTTTGATGGGCTGATTAGATTTTTGTTTCATGATTTCTATTGGATGAGAAGAATGACATTGTTATCTTTCATTTCATACTAAACTTTTTATGATTTATGTTTTCGGCAGTTTGTTTTGCGGCACTGTTTCACAAGAGCCGTGTTTAGTGCCATTCTGTACCCTGATCCCACCTACAGGATTTGAAAAAAAGTATCTAGGATGATTGGTTAACATGTGAATTTGCTTTTGGTGAAATTTCAGCAAAATCTATCGATTAGAAATATGTTTTTTTTTATGAGGAATGTGAAAATGTCATGCATAAATGACGGCCGAATTAGCATTTTTTGTGTATTTACATACATTTTGGGGCGATTATATGTAATGAAATAGAATCTTTCGGTCACATTTGAGATCACAACTTTTGGTTTAAAAACAAAGGAAAACAAAGCAATTAAATACATGATTTCCGGGCGTTTAAAATTGGCATAACTTTCTTATTACTGGGGCTATTACATTAGGATGAATGAGGCATCAGATAAAAGGTCTTATCAAGCTCTGCATGTCTAATGGCATAAAGCAAGAGCTTGAATTCTGAGATTTAATTTTTTTTGTAACGTCCCTATATCGTATATACGTATATACTTCCTTCTTATCGTATATACAACTTCCTTTATCATTGGATTCAAGGTTCAATTATACACAACACACTTAACTTAAGTTGTAGTTGTTCACACCACCACATCAGACAACAACAGTGAGTCAACACAGCTCAGCACAGCTGATATGTCATTGTTATTAATTTGTATACCCTCAGTTGGGTTCTTTCTATATCACAATGAATATCTGATCTCACCTGTTAGTTAAATCAGGGAGCTAAGGTCTCACACGTCACACCCTGGTTAAATAGAATTTAAGCCTTCAAAGCTAGGCTTAAGAAATCTGCACAATCGCGATAACGTCAACAACGTCATTCGCGCAGGCGCAAACTCATAATGCAACTTAGCTTCAGTCGGTTTCTAGATTTTTCTGTAATAAAAATCTTCCTTTTTACGTTTAACCTGTACGTTTTATTGATGTTTGAAGAAAATATGTATTGAAACAACATTAAAGCGAATTTATGTCTAAAAAATTGATCTAACGACATATAGACTGCCTGCGTTAATTTAGCATTTGAATTCTCTTTGCCTAGTTAAAGACTACTTATGAATATCATATTCGGGGAATTCCCCGAATATGACGTAATGAGGAATAGACTAATCGAAGAAGAAGAAGAAGAAGGAAGAGGAGGAGGAGGAGGAGGAGGAGGAGGAGGAGGAGGAGGAGGAGGAGGAGGAGGAGGAGGAGGAGGAGGAGGAAGAGGAGGAGAAGAAGAAGAAGAAGAAGAAGAAGAAGAAGAAGAAGAAGAAGAAGAAGAAGAAGAAGAAGAAGAAGAAGAAGAATTAGAAGAAGAAGAAGGAGGCCGGAGGAGGAGGAGGAGGAGGAGGAGGAGGAGGAGAAGAAGAAGAAGAAGAAGAAGAAGAAGAAGAAGAAGAAGAAGAAGAAGAAGAAGAAGAAGAAGAAGAAGAAGAAGAAGAAGAAGAAGAATTAGAAGAAGAAGAAGGAGGCCGGAGGAGGAGGAGGAGGAGGAGGAGGAGGAGGAGAATCGAAGAATGAGAGGCGACGGAGCGACTTCCAAAATGAGGGGGGGGGGGGGGGCACCAACTAAAAAAAAAGGCGCCTACACAAGTCATGAAAGCTAGGAAATCGCAAAGCGAAAATATACAATTTTTTTAGACATTGGAGAAATCCCCCTACATTGTGCTTGGGGTGCTTATTATCAGGTATGGTTTCAGCATTTGTTTCTCTTTATACATCATACTTTGCAGTTAGGTGTGATGGTCTGAATATTCATTTAAGAGCGAGCAAGGAATTACAAAAAGAAGATTGTGAGGTCTCAGAGGAAAAATGACAACTAGTATAAAATATAGGAAAAAACCCAAACCTGATGGGGTTATATAAGCACATTCTCATAACGGAAGACTGAAAAGACCTTTGATATATGACACAGTTATACCATCTATAAATGCGAGTGAGTGTAGCGAGCGAGTTTTGGGAGAAACTGCTCTTAGTCGCTTTAAATTAGGGGCACGTAATAATGATCAGAAGTTGTTGTTGTTGTTGTTCTTGGGTTTTAAGGCTGACCAATCTAAAAAGATTATTTCTGCCTGGCTGTACTGTTTTTTTGTTTAGTTGTTTATCACTGATGATTAGATGGCGCTGTTTCTTTTCCTCTTCAGTGGGTATCATGAATTAGTAAAGGGATCGACACTTATGAACAGTTTTAAACACGCTCTAAAAGCCCTGTTATCTGTAGATGACGTTTAAGTGAACTTTTGGGGGTTTCGTGCGAAGCTAACCGTTTTTTTCCTATTTGCAAAATTATGAAATTTGGTTGACATGGTTATCGTTATATCATGTATTCATACACAGGCGCGCCGGAAGCAGTTTGGGATTGGGGGGGCAAACATTCCAGGGGGCTCACCTTCCGAGGGCAGTGACGTAATGAGAAAAAACGTTCGGAAGGGGGGGGGGGCAGACGAAAAATCTGCATCACCACCAGTCTTACACGTTACATGCAGGTCCCGCGGAACGTTTTTCAAAGTGAAGTATTAACGATCAGGTAGAGCGTAAATTGGCGTGGGGTCCAGCCTCGGCAGGGTGTCAAGGGGCTGAGCCCCGGAAGCTCAGGGATTTTAGGTATTTAATTACGGTTAGATGAGCATCCAGGGGCCTCTTTAAGGCCATTGACGTGTTCCAGAGGGGGGGGGGGAGCCCCCAGAAGCTCAGAGGTTTTAATATTTAACTACGGTCAGATGAGCAACCAGGGGCCGCCCTAGGGCACTTGGTGGGGTCCAGGGGGCAGGGCCCCCGGAAGCTCAGGGGTTTTAGGTATTGAATAATGGTCAGATGAGCATCCAGGGGCCCGCCTTATAGGGCCCTTGGTGGGGTCCAGGGGGCAGAGCCCCCGGAAGCTCAGGGGTTTTAGGTATTTAATTACGGTCAGATGAGCATCCAGGGGCCCGCCTTAGAGCCCTTGGTGGGGTCCAGGGGGCAGAGCCCCCGGAAGCTCAGGGGTTTTAGGTATTTAATTACGGTCAGATGAGCATCCAGGGGCCCGCCTTAGGGCCCTTTGTGGGGTCCGGGGGCGGAGCACCCGTAAGCTCTGGGGTTTTAGGCATTTAATTACGGTCAGATGAGCATTTTTTATGCCTTATTTGTGACATTGGCAGGTCACTTATTTTTTCTCTCCGTCTTTCTTTCTTTTTCTCTTTAACATACTTTTTCAAAAAGTGAGGGGGGAGGGGCTCGAGCCCAGCCACTTTGCAGACCATGTCATAAAGGCTTCTAAATAAGCGTATTTTTCGCCCGACTGTAATTTGGGAATTTCTTATTTTCCAACAAACGCATAAAAAGGTATGACTTAAAAAAAAATGGAGAAAAAATACCGGAAAATCATGTCATAACAGCAACATGTGTAAATCACTGGTATCGTATAGATTTACCCCCCCCCCCCCATCAGTACGCCAGCGTTCAGGGGCTCATGTCTTCTCACCCCTATAACAAAACCAAAAAAACAGACACGTTTTCCCATTCTCGCACAATATGTCCACGATATGCGCGTATCGCTATTATAAACCGTATAGGTAGCATGCGCAATGTTTATAAAAATTTAATTCCTGTGAACTTTCCTTTTCTTTGAATGGAATGGTATATGTGCTTTAATTCAGGTTTTTATTATTGTTATGTTCTTTTGGGTTAAAAATACAAACCATGTTTATTCCTTTACTGCTTTTTTTTTTTTTTTTTTGGAGGGGGGGGGGGGGCGTTTTGGGGGGGGGGCAAAAATGCGTTTTGCCCCCCCACTTTTTTGACTGGGGGGGCAACTGCCCCCCCTGCCCCCCCACTTCCGGCGCCTATGTTCATACATGTAATGTATCCATTTTTAGATATCTTGTAAACAACCTAAGTGTACTAGTTAAAGAGCAATTGAATGTAATTGGTATCCCGTGCGTTAATAAGCTATATCTGATTATTAAATGAACGTTTACAAAAAAAAAAAAAAAAAAAAAAAATTGTAATTCCATTCACCTATTTCTTGTAAATGATCAAGGATGATTCTTGAATGATCAGTTATTTCATGGGGATACCAATTAATTTGTATTTTAACTGTTTATATGCTTGTGTATTTATCAATTATGTTTTTGATGTTGTTATTTGTTTTATTATTACCAAACAGAGCCTCATGGAAGACCACCAAATTGGTTATATGGCACCCTGTATAAATATCAGAAATAAATAAATATGAATGATTAAAACACGTACCTATTAGAAAAGAAAAGGACACGTGTTACAGAGGGTAATAAGCAGAGGTAGAAATGGGGCACGTACTTCTTATGTGCATTTGTTGAAAGAAAAGGGGCACCGATCAGGTTTGAGGGGGATTTTTTGTGAAGGGGGAAGTGGCACTGATTACAATGAAAAGGGGCACATGTATTAAAATAGAGGGGCACTTATCAGAGATTAAAAGGAGTAATTATGAGAATGAAAAGGGACACTTTTCACAGGTGAATAGGGGCATTTATGAGAAGGGGAAGGAGCGTTCAATTTTTTAATAGGGGCACTTATCATAATGAATTATTTTCGGACTTTTTGGTGTCATATGAAAAGTTGAGTTCATGAGCTTTCCATACATATTAAACTTCTCCCCCAGAATCATATATTTCTTTTATTCGGCAGCCATTTTAAAAGTGTATATTTTGTGGGGGACGCACGGTATATGGAGGTGTCGCGGTGTATTGGTTTATGCACTTGACTCTCAATCCAAAGGTTGAGGGTTCGAATCCCAGCCTGACATTAACCCGTATTTGCCTCTCTCCACACAGGTGTTAATGGGTAGGCCTACCTGGCAATCGCGGGGATCTTAAGGATTGCAAGGCCTAGCTCAGGAAGAACAGCCTTGATGCTGCTGCTGAAGCTACTACGGCTAAATCAAATCATCATCATTTTTAAAAATTATCTCATACTATTTCTATGTAAATTTCAGGAGAGCAATTTGAGACAAATTAGAGTTGTTTTTCATCATTCTGTTTCAAAGTGGACTGACCTGTTATGACCTTTGGCAGATGACACCCTCTGCCACAGGGTGTTATGTTATTGTTGTGCTTGGGCAAGTATATTTTCAAAGGACTGAATGTTGTGACAATTTTAAAGAACAATTAGTGATATTAATACTTCTTAAAAAAAGTGTTACAAATGTTTCCAACCAAATAACTTCTTTTCACAGATGATCATGGTACTATTCTAATAATTATTTAATTTAATTTCTAATTTGTCTGATTTCTGTACATCTTGTAAACCATGCCGTTTTGTGATTTGGGAATAAAATTTGTAAAATTGTAGTGCCATTTGTATGTGTGTTATTATGTTATAAAATTTTGACGGATGCCATCAATGGTAATTACCATGGTAACCTTGATTTTGATTTGCTGTTGAGCCCTGTTGCCATGGTAGTTGCCATTGATGGCAAAGTTACCATCAATGGTAAGTTTTATGCAACGGGCCGGCCCCATCAGAAGACGTTTTGTTTTTGTTTGCCCTCTTGAGAAGAATACTTCCACCTGTGTTTTAATAGGATGTACCGTCGGTGCATAAAAATGAATAGTGATTAAAAAAAAGAAGATTATGAACACGTATCCTCTCGGGGGGGGGGGGGGGGGGGTTACAATTTCAGTTCAAGTTACCCTATCTCTCCATGCACAGATTGTATTCATAACAGGTTAATTGTCCTGGCTGAATCGAAGACTAATAATAACTCATGACACATTGCAAAAAAAAGGACTACTTGTAA